AAAGGCTTGAGATGCATATCTGGTCCGATGCTGAATCTCTTCATCAATGTCTGCGGTGGTGGACAGGTGGGAACCGAGATACCGAAAGTGGGCAACATTAGAGAGGGTAGTACCGTTAAGCTGGATGGATGGTGGAGGTGTGTCTGAACCAGGGGCAGGTTGAAAGAGAATCTGAGTCTTACATACATTCACCCCAAGGCCGAAGTGTGCATACGCGTCTGCGTAGGTGTTCAGGATCTCCTGTAGGTCGTGTTCAGTGTGAGCAACAAGGGTGAGGTCGTCTGTAAACTGAAGTTCAGTAATGGAAGCTGCCGACACCTTTGTTCTTGCCTGGAGTCGTCTTATGTTGAAAAGACCTCCCTTCACCCGGTACTCGATGTTCACTCCGCTGGCTAAATTGGCACTGGCACGAGTAAGGAAGGCAGCCAAGAAGATGGAAAAGAGAGCTGGTGCCAATACACACCCTTGTGTAACCCCTGTTTGGATGGGGAAGAACTCTGACTGGGTGCCGTTGTGCAGGACACTGCCGTTCATGTCATCGTGGAGTTGCCTCACAATGGGGATGAATTTTGGTGGGCAGCCAACACGGCTGAGGGTCCACCAGAGGGCTTCCCTGTTGATCGAGTGGAAGGCCTTGGTTAGGTCGATGAAAGCCATTTACAGGTGACGACGCTGTTCCCTGCACTTTTCCTGTATCTGGCGGGCAGCAAAGATCATGTCAGTGGTGCCACGTGATGGTCTAAAACCACATTGAGATTCTGGGAGGAAGTTTTCCGCCTCAGGAAGAAGTCTGTTCAGGAGGACTCGGGCGATAATCTTGCCAGCTACGGAGAGCAGAGATCACACACACACACTACTGAGAATCAAAGACCGTGTAGACGTCCCTCCGCTCGGAGGAGGAGACGGCGTAGGTGCCGAAATACATTTAATATTCCTTCTTAACCGCGACATTGAAATGCTCAGGGTCGTTAGTCATTTCGTTACTGATCAAAACACGTTCAAGAAGTTCAACCCTCTTTTGATCTAAGGCTTCAGAGTCGATGCGGGTACCCACTGAGTAGTTTGGGATGGTGAGAAAGGAATGCCGGGAGTGAGGGAGCACTTGTGGCCTCAAACCAGACAGTTTATCTCGGGCCGATTCGGATGCACAAGTGGGGCCTCGTACTCCTTCAGTCTCTCACTATAGGTGGAGCCTCGTACTCCAGCAGTCTCTCACTATAGGTGGAGCCTCGTACTCCAGCAGTCTCTCACTATAGGTGGAGCCTAGTACTCCAACAGTCTCTCACCATAGGTGGAGCCTCGTACTCCAGCAGTCTCTCACTACAGGTGGAGCCTTTGACTGCGGCGGCCGATGATTGTGAATCTGGTCATACAATTATTGAAGCTGTGTGGACATCCAGCTTTCCAAACCTGACTAGGAACTTAGCTTGCATTACCTGAGCATTATAAACGTGTTTTGACCATCGTACGACTAATCGTGTAATTTGCATGTTTTCCTAGGTAAGGGCAGACACCTGGCGAGGAGTTAGAAGGCGTATTCATTTTGTGCATTGTCTGTTATGTAGTTCATCCTCTTAAAGTCAACTAGTTTGTTCCTGAGTATGCCGTCGGTGGTGCTTGATCCAAGTGAGGCATGAAGTAGGATGGTTCCTGCTGAGTCACTGACTTGGGCTTGCGATAAAAACCTGTAACTTGGTCAGCGATGTAACTGTCGGAGGAAACAATTATACTTTATGAGAAGTTAAAACAGACTTTCTCTTCGTGAGCTTTTACGTGATTGACATTTGTCAATTGAGAGACTGCCATGGCAACAGTAGTACCAACGCCTAAAATCAGATGTTGAACTAAATTTTAAAGCTGCCCATAATATCCTTAGTCACAAGGCAAAAGGGAAGGACGGGGAGGGGATCATGTTACACATCTTCATTCCAGATAATAAGATGATCACCGAAGAACAGCTTCGAGTCACCACTGTAACAAGAAATGAAGATTCGGGATAACAGGGAATATTGTCACGCTGCTTTGATAACACCAACTCCACCGACCAAGTTGAAGACATTCTTGATATCTAGTTTGATTAATCTCTTCCGTCCTTGAGATTGACGGTCTATCTCTTCACAGCCCTGAAGCATCCCGATTATATGTTGTTTAGACTTTAGCAGGGAACAAGGTTCTCGGCCGACTACTGTGATGGTTATACTGGTAACGAGGGGTGGAAGGAAGCTACCAACGGCGATGGTCTAATTACACTTCCTTCTTCTAACTACAAAGGGATGTGACGAATAAGTAGGGCCTAATTAAATCAGGAGTGTCGGCCGCCAGGCAGACGGAGTATTTAAGAGAATTCTAAGGAGACACCATCTGCAGCGGAACCGAGAAATAGGTACCTGCCACTTGAGCGAAACACATGACTACATTTTATACGTCTCGCTCTTGAAGGAATAATAGTCCCCTGTGGTCGTGTCAGTGGGAGGGTCTTTGCTTGTGGCTCTTCGTAGATGTTTGTCTTGGTGACTCGAGGATGTGTCAACACTCGTAGGTGTGAAAATATTGCCGCTGGCTATTAACCTGATTCACGACAGCGTTGCTGTTTTCTGTTTTCTTCATGACGAACATAATCGAGGTGGTTTTTGAAAACGTGTTTAGCCTCCTCTGACTTTTTTACGTTTGTATGGGAAGATGGACTAGGACATAGGTTATTCCTTTCCAGGGTGTGTATGTGTGTGTAAACACGCACGGACGCACGCACACCCAAACACGTGAGTGAGGTCTTCGTCCACGTGTTTGTTAGAACATAAGAACATAAGAAAATAAGGAGTCTGCAATAGGCCGGTTGGCCTGTGCATGGCAGCTTCTGTCGAGAGTTACTACCACTCTCTATCATCCATGAATCTATCCAGTCTCCTTTTGAAACTTTCCAGCGTTCCAGCAATTACTACAAAGTTGCTAAGCTTGTTCCACAAGCACAACGCGCATTATTATATGTGTAAATACCCGAGACTTTTTCATTATTTAGAAACTATTTTAGTACAAACTTTTTAAATACGTTTTATTAATATAATCCCAATAAAAATATTCAATTAACCGATGTGTTGGATCAAATGTAAATTTGTAGAGGTGGTGGTACAGTAGTGGCCACGCTACCTGTCTTATTTCATTCCTCCTGTGTTATGTGACGCCAGAACAATGTGACTGACGTCCTGGATTGACTCGTAAATCCAATGGTGTATTAACCCGGCCTTACCTTGAGTATAGGTCACACTGTACCTCACAAATGTATATTTACGTTTTTGTGTGTGAAAATATGACAAGGGACGAAGAATTCTAACAACACTGCCGAAAGAACAGGAGTTGCAGTATTCATTTTGAAATACATCAGACTCCTCCCTAAAGATACTTTTTGGAGCGAGTACAGTACTTCCCCAAGTGCCTCACAAAATAAAGAGTAAAATTCTCGAAAATAGCGAATTTGTCCTCATGTATAGTATCACTTATATCCCTCACACTGAATATGATTAAAATAGTCCAATCTAATGTACAGTTGCCTCCACATGAACGTACTACAGCCTAGGTGTGTGGAGGGGGGGGGGGGATTTGCAAGATGTGGCAAAGCAGCGCCGTAGTCATGGGCGTGGAACCGTGGATTATCTCGTTTGCCGGTTCCTGGTAGTTCGGTCCTAGTCACTCGGTTGTGGCTACACAACAATGCTCCATAACACGTATAACAGGGTCCGTTTATCTTTTTACCTCCTTTACTGTTTGTATCTCATCGCAAAAAGGGTAATTACTCTGTTTCACGCCCATTCATTCAGCCATGACGATGATGCTGCATGTCACATCTTGTATCCGGGCCTTCACACACTCCCAGACTGTGGTATGTTCATGTGGAGGAAACTGTACTATCATCACAAAATCAATTAGTTTAAGGAAATGTAAAATGATAAAGAGAACTAAAAAAAAATAATTAAAAATATAAATTAATACACTATATAAACTAATAAAATAGTGACGACAATGATGACAAGAGCCAATACTATATACTGTACAGTATATACAAGACAAACACCCGGCATTACAGCACCTATACATAAAACAACAAGACAAACACAAGTGACTAGTATATACTGTAGCCCCACACAATTCTCATTCACAAGAGACTAAAAATAACCTAACCATCAGCGTTGTACCGAAACATTCTGAACATCAAGCCACTTAAAGCTATTGGTGAGAATACAAATGAATGACAGAAAAAAAAATAATTTGATTTTCATAATATTGGATTCCTTAAAAACCAAGAAAAGGACAATTTTCAAAATGTATGTATCAGGATAGTGATGACGTGTAAGGTATTCAAGTTCTCCTTGGTTACTGACGGCTCAATGAAACAGTCTTCACAGACACAATTTACTGAATTTACTGGGAGAGGTCTGTACAGTGGTGCAGCAGAAAACAATCTGTCTCATAGGGTAATACACATGACCACGAAACCTCGTGCTATGTCTTATAACTATTCAGACATCCAACTTCATTCACACCGCAAGGTGGCAGCACTCAAGCACACATCAATCACGCCACTAGAGGACAGCACTCGTGCACATGCTCATTCATGCCACACAGTGGTTCACTCGCTCGGCTCGTTCGCATTACATAAACACCACACATAAGGTGAGTCCAAGTCTACCAGCGGTCAAAATGTAGAAAAATACTCCTCGGTAACCATGGATTTGCTAACCGTATTCAATTCGGTATCCTATAACAAGATGGGCCAACTTCTAATACGTTTTTGTTGTGTCGGAGTTGTGACAAGGAACATGGCTGTGAAAAACTTCATTATTAATTCATAGAACGACAATCTGAGTCTACTAGAGTAAGATATATTCCGCCTAATTTTCCAGTCAGCGAAAACAATAATAATACGTAACAAAAACAAAAGGAAAAATAATCATAAAAATAACTAAACTTAATAAAACAGAAGTAAACATAACAGACTGAAGACTCACATTTCTGGCAGTAAGTGCCAAGAGTGCCGGCAGGACAACGACACAGGTACGGTGCCAAACACGTCCCTCCGTTCTGGCACTGTGGCCGACACACAGCTGTAACACACATCACAATCATGGATACGTGGACACAGGATGGACACAGACACTAAAGGAGTAGATAGGTGGACACCGGGACTGGATACATGCCTGAATTGATTCGTGGATATATGGTGATAGAGGGATTAGATAGAAAGGTGGATATTTGGATAGGTATACATGGATGAAAAGGAGAAAACACATAGATTTGGATGGATGGGTGGATAAGGAAGACCTGCATATAACAAGTCTGGATAACATGAGTGGATATGTATGTAGCTGCCGTGGATAACCTGCGATGTTCCTAACTAAAAGAAAAAGAAAAAGAAAAAAAAAGTCTCTTGAAAACAGGAAAAATACAAATAAATCACACACAAAAAACAAAGAAAATAAGACAATTAATAAAAAAAAAGTACCACTTGCTGATCAGATAAATATTAAATCGACATAAAGCAGAAATAAAATTAACGAAAAAATTATGTAGATGAAAACTGTATAAGGAATAAAATAAAAGAACATCAAAACTTAAATTGGTCATAACTAAAAGAACATAATAGACTTGGGAATAAAAAACAGAACTAATTCATACTTACAATTATAAAATGAAAAAAACAAACAAAAACATTACTAGTAAATGACAAAGAAAAGGGTAAAAAAAAAAATCCTTATTCCATTAAACTACGTCCTTCGCCTTTCCCTTTGCATGCCTCTCAATGTCGGGAAGAATTTATATTTACAACGTATTCTGTTCGGGGGAAAACTACACGTCAAAGAAGCTGTGTTTGAGTGATTCTTTGTGGCATCATTCTGAAACCACTTTAATTGCGATTTATAACTTTACCTGTACCTGCATTATATTCGTACCTGTTATTTAATATGTACCACTCATTATATTTGTACCTGCACCCGTAATACTATTTAATACGGTTACTATATTTGTGTTTGCGGCTGTATCTTTAAATGCCCTAACACCTGTACCACCACCGTTTGTTCGGAATCAACAGTGGACTAATGTTTACCTCAGATAAATTTCATATAATGTAAGATTGAAAACAGAAGACAGACTCAATATAATAACTGTTAGAGTAGGTATATGTACTATACTGTACCTTAAAGAGGTTGGTGCTAAATAACAAGATTCTCTACTGGAAATGAAAATTGGCAGAGTTGATTTCACAAAAGAGCATCCCAAATGTTGGACAGACGGACATACAGAAAGAAAACCCATGTGTTCTGTCTATGGAGGTGGTGTGAGAACCGTTAGCGTGTGGTAGAAAAGATAACGTGTATCCATGTTTCTGAGACCAAAAACGCGACACAAGCAAATATGTATGAAATTAGACGGTTTAACCACATACAATGAGTTACTCACGAAGTAACACGATAAAAAATGAAGAAAACTCTCGAATTTTGCTTACCAGAAACGATGTTGAGTGCTGCAGGTGGTGGTGAGGTTGTGGAAGCAGAGTTACTGGGAATTACCTCCTTAAAACATCAAGTTTAATATCCAATGCAATTCCTTTATGGAATATTTTATCACCACTGCAAGTGCTTGAACTTGATGGTCTTTTTCCACTCATCTTGAATAAGGGTACACAGTAACACAGATGCATAACTGAACACAAACTGGGTAAAGAATTCAAACTGAGTAGTGCCATTGTTGTTGTGGCTGCCACCAGCTGGATTTGGAAAACAGAGTCAGAATCCGCACGAAATAAATGTTATAATTTCGGTGAATTTTTTGTACTATATCGCGATTTTTTCTTTTGAAAATCTTAATACATTAACCAAAATTCCATAAGAACAAATAGTCATGAGTACAGATGCTTCACTAAACACAAGCTGTGGAAGGAATTCTAATTGAGCAGCGCCATTGTTGTGGTGGTTGCCGACAACTGGGGAGGTGAGCACCACGGAGACTCCACACGAAATAATTTTTAATATTTTTGGAAAGATCACGACTTTTTTTTCTTAAAATTTTTAAAAGTTTAAAAAAATTCTGTAAGGACAAAGCTTAATTTTTTCCGTAACCTAGAATTATAGTCATTAGTTCAAAATTCCGTAACGTGGGGGATGTCTTGGCTTTACGTTATTTGAGTGTAATTAATAGTGTGGAAGTAGTATGTAACCATTAGCGATGTAGGATAAAAATATTTAATAATTCGAATAAGGAATGACTTCACAGAAAATAGTGGTTTTTTTTTCATACACGTCTACCATTATAGTATGTTGATGATGCTCACTTTTGTCTTCACTTGTTGTTGTGTTGTGAGTGTTTACTGCAGGGATGTTTTGACCTGTAGTCTAGTTTCAGATTTTAACTATGAGAAGGTTTTAATATTTGTCTTGCAATGTTAAATAGTTTACTTGAGTTCAATTTAGATGATATACGGTAAGTTTTGAATTTCATTGAAAATATACATTTTATGCATTTACCAACAAGTTTTAAAATTTAATTCAAGCACTTTATATAATAAAGTGTGACCTTCGTGAAGGCAGAGGTCAAGAGATGGAGGCAACACCTCCATTATATTCGAGTTTCTTCTCAGCATATTTGGGCCCTGATCACGTGGTTCAGCTTAATGTTTTATGGAGAAAGTAATGTTTATTATTATTTTTTTTCTTTCTCAGGTTTCAATCGCCGTTCCCACGTCCCATATGGAGAAAAAAGTGCATGCTAACCCATGTCTGACGCTCAGTCTATGTCCGAGATAGATCCGGGTAGACCGTAGGTTATAAACTAAAGATCGTTAGTTTAAGTTAGTTCAGATTTGGTTATCTTGTTGGTTCGTGTCTGCTGCTATAAAAGGCTATTTTATGCACAATCTAGAGCGGCACAAATAGACTGAGATTTGGATTTAGGTTGATAGTAAAGCGACTTGGGTTATATCCCCGTTGAACAGGATACGAGAATTGTGTTATCCAGTATCAGCTTACCGACCGTCACGTGTTCTTTCCGGGTACTCCTGTGTTCTCCTGTACTAACACTAGACCCAGGTAGGAAGGCCCTTACTAAACCTTTGGGGAGACAGGTAGCCATAAATGAGAGACCTCGGCGGTGTAGATAATAATAATCAATCAATCAGACCATCAGGAGAATCTTCAGTCATTTCTCTCATCGTAGTAATGAAAATCTCCAGGAAGAGAATCCCCTTCCATTACAGTTAAGCTCTCCTTCCCCCTCCACAACCCCTCCGCATACATAATATCCTCTTCTACCTGCCCTCCTTCCCCACTCCCCCCCTCCACTTATGTAATTTCTTTCTGTTACAATTCAAATCGCACCCATTACTTATGGGCCCCGACCTAATCTGTTTTTTAACTAATATATAATTATCAAGGCCTGTTAGGACTCAGAACTCATTCCTAGTGGTTAATTTGGGGACTTTATTACGACTGGGCCCATTTTACCAGTCATCCTCCCCGCCCCTTCCCTCACACACACACTCACGTCGCTGGCAGATTGGACCACCATAACCAGAAGGGCAGGAACACACGCCGGGAGCGACGCAGCGGCCGCCATGTTGACAGGAGGGCGTGCACACTGCTGACTCACACCGTGCACCCGTGTAACCCCCAGGACAAGTGCATCGCTCCACGCCCGTGCACTCCCCGCCGTGTAGACATCTTACCGTGCACATGGCTATGGAACAGGGTCAAGGAATGAGGATTTCAAAACAAAACTAAATAATAGAATGGAAGAGGTAAGGAAGCTATAATAAATATGAGGATAAAGGAGAAATCAATAACATCAGTAAAAAAGAAACAAAATAAAACAAACTTAATAATGAAAGACTGATAAACTACAGAATAGATAAAATTATAGAGAAAAGAAACAAATACTATAAACTACAAAGTAAATAAAGCTAAAGAATTAACATTAAAAATTACAAAAAATATCCTCAAATTTATCATAAAAATTAAAGATAAAAAAATCCTCAAAATTTACGATTAAAGATTTACAATATTGTACGTGTTTTTATGTTATTCTTTTATTATTGTCTTTACTATTTATTAATTCATTATCTTTCGTCTTTCTTTTTTACGTAATTGTGATGAAGATATTTATGATTAATTTAAACCATAAAACTCATGGAGGTGGAACTGTTAGGCAGATGATAATTATAACCAATAACTAAAATTAATGTAAAACAAAATTAAACCATATTGAATGTGAGAATAATGAAAAAAAATGTGATAATTATGAGTAACAATAACATGAAAGAGAAAAATGAAAACACCAGCGAGTGAATCATGAACAGTACCAACACTCAGAGATTCTTATAAGGGTTTGCTCGAATACGGTGAAGTATGATAACACGGACGCAAATTACCATCCCACCAAACTTAACGAAACACGAACCATAAATTCGGTTTATCTTTTTGAGTGAAATTCTTCCTCCTACCAATGTCTTGAACGACCAAATATCACAACCACAGAAAAGTGATCTCATCAGAGAGGCTCCTTCCAAACGTCTCCTTGATATATATGCAGCAAAAACGATTACACGTGTTTCTAAATATTTGCTGATCGGAAATTTTAATATTTTTTATTTTTTTCGTCATGAATAAGTAAGCTTCACAGCACTAGTGTTTTGTCAATGCAGCTGGGTAAAAAATGTTGCAATGTTGCAGATGGATCCGATAAAACGTTATTAAGTAGTGATAATCCCTCTCATCCGTACCACCAATAACAAACCATCACAACAAATGCTGGAAAATTCGAATTAATTAGAGGCGCGGGAACTTCCACGTTGTAACTGTGAAAAACTGCAGCAATGTTGCAGGCGAGTCCTCCAGGGCGTCGGCCATAACAAGGCTCTTAGAGGAAGTCATAAAGCCATGTAATAATACCTGTGGCCTGGTAAAGCGAGGCGCCCGGCCCCGGGATATACGAGGCTAATATTGCTCCAGCGAGGCCCTCTGTAGAGCCTTCGCTGCCCAGGGCCTGTGTTGTGTGCTGGTAGTGTAACTCTCCCGTCATTATGTACTGGTCACATTCTCTAGTACAGTATTACAGTTAAACATCAAATATAATCATCAGTGTAACAGTCCAAGTAACAAGGTTCTGAACTGTGTGGAGTCACGTTCAATAATTAATTACCACCACTAAATTATATCCATCTAACAAATATTTAATTCCAGTGAACAAAGGTCCCGGCTTCCTGGTGTCACCACTGAATATTCCATCACATAACAAGTCGAATACTTCACAACAAATTGCTTTCAGAATTTAATAAAATGGTTTGTAATTAACGGCGGTGGTACAATGTAGAGCTGTAATTATTCCGGAACTCTTCACCTGCAAGTGTTTTCATGAGTAGGCCACTGATATCCGAATGTCTAAAACAATAGTGATTCCAACAATAGATTGAGTTCCGGATGCAGTAGTAATTGTTGATGTCAGAGTATAAGACAAAGGGCTTGTGATACACGGGCTGGTGTCGTGAGAATGACAGGTAGAGGAGCCATGATTAAAAAAAAATTAAAAGACTAAAATTTTTTTTTTTTATTTTACTTAAAAAAAAAACGAAGAAATTAGAGTTTATTTTGTAATCAAGTATAACACAAAGTAAAAGCGCATTTTTGGGGGTAAACTTGACTTATAGAAAACCAAACGTCACCAAATTATTAAATTAAACTAACTTAACCAATTAAACAAAAAATGTCAAAGTAAATAACTATTTTTTTTCCAACTAATCATAACTGTCATCTAAAAAAGAGCATCTAAGTTATCAGAAAAAAACAAATAAACACACTCAGTTACATAAAACCAACAAATCAATCATTATTACCACATACACAAATAAATCAACTAAACTGAAACAATTTAACAAAAACAGCAAAATTATCAAAATAAACAGAGTTGAATTTTTTAGGAAAACTATAAACTGAAATTATAAAAGCAAAACTTACGGGTACAGAGAGGAGGGACATAGCCAGAAGGACACACACACAGGCCAGGGATGACACACGTCCCACCGTTACCACAAGCTGGATTACACACAGCTGAGAGACCAACAGAGGGATAACTATAGAAAACTGATTTACTATGATGGTTTGTCGCATCCCCTACCAACTAAACGCCTGCTCAGAGAGTGTGAGTAATTGGGAAGATGAAGTTTGGGTTTGGTCATGTACGGTGGATAACTTTCACCCTTTGATCAACGTTATTGTTGTTGTTTGCAGTAAGAATTATATACACCATGAAAAGGAGGGACCCTAGCGGAAACAGCTTTAGGCGAGGTCTTATTGGACAGGAGAGAGAGAGCTGAAGTTCCTGAAAATTGTTGCAATATACATTAAGAATACTTCTCGTAGAAATAACAAAGTATATCAAAACGTTTTATTATCATAATATGGTGTCAGGAGGTGGGAATAATGCCCAGGCACGGTGACTGGCACTACCTGGTCAAGCACTACACCAAAATACATTCAATTTCCTGGTCTATGTTTAACCAACCTTAAAACTAACTTAGTGGATCATGAGGAACATGGAATTCGTATATCAATCATTTATACCTCTACTTAAATCTATCGTTGTTGTTATATATCCTGGAATTTGAATTACTCATAAAATTCCCTCTTCTTGCATTTACATCTACAACCAAGGAGACGCGCCTTATAATTGTCGATGACTAAACTACAATACTCATTACCTTAAGTTGTAAAAGATCTAAAATATCAACACAAAATGGGAACAACACTGGTAAAATACTGATTGATATTAAAATCCTATTCAGTAATACAAATTTTTCATTTCATGCAGACGGTCAGGATCATCAAAGTTTTCATGTTTATTGTCTATACGAATAAGAGCGACCATGAAACAGTTTTCCTCTCGTGTGGAGTCTAATAAAGAGAGGCGCTGGCAATGGGGTAATAACACGGTAGTAAAACACACGTTAAAGATATAAGAGTTTATGAAATTAGCAACACGAAACAAGGCACGATGCTCGTTGATCACAAAACACTACAGCGAACACTAACGATATAACCAGTGTATTTAAACAAATGTGAAGCTAATTTGATCGTATAGTATATCTCTAGAAAATTATATATAGTACAATGACTTTTTGTAAACTAAAATGACACAAACCTACAGCCAGCGAGCAACTACCGAAACTGTGGAGCCTGAAAATTTTGATAAAAAAAAAAATGGAAGATAAAGTTACGTGTAAAATGTATACATGATTATTATTCTAAATGACCGGGAACTAAGGACCTGAGAACCATATATTGTATGTCACCATGTTATACAGCATATTGTATCATGTTTCTACTTTATATGTAACGCATTTGTACGAGGCAAAGTTACTAGGATTTAATCTGTGACTGAAGCACCAGCCAGCAAAATTTTCGAAAGCATAAAAAAAAAGATTTACCCCTGTGATGTTCTGTTTCTGTAGCGAACCTGTGCAAATGAAGAGACCTGATTTACTGTTGCTACGTCGGAATATCTGGAATTTGGGGTAAACTGTGAAAAAAGAAGAGAATACTGCGGTTTTTTTCCATGGTAAGAGAAGCGAGTCCCTCCGGTGTATACTGTACCAACACCGACATGATTCAGACCCTAGAGGCTCCTCCCTATTGTGTATTGAGACACACTATGAAGGGAGCGAGATTCACTGACAGTCAAATCTCAGTATTTTCCACCAACTAGTAGTAGATAGTAAGCAGCTACCAAACAGGGAGGTACTACCGTCTGGGAAGATATTGGAAGCATAATGTGTTGTCTAATGGTAGACCCTGCTGCCATATGGCATCACGAAAATTGTGACCAGCTCTCAGGTTGCTGATCTGACTTTCTGCCTCATTTACGCACAATTGCAGGGTCTCAATTGTTTCTCTTACTATTGACAACACAATATACAGTACATGCAGTATATTGTTTCTCACTTTTGATCTTTTTTTCATTTTTGAATTCATGGTTCTTTCTTATTATTATTATTATTATTACTACTACTACTACAGAGTTATTATTATTATTATCATTATTATTTCATTATTTATTTTTTATTGTAAATTTTATTTACTATGAATTATTAATTATTATTTATTATTATTATTACATTTCTGTCCCCCAGGCTCCGATGTGGGCCAGTGACCTGTGCCCGGGTGGGTTAATCCCCGTAAAAGAATATATATATATATATATATATATATATATATATATATATATATATATATATATATATATATATATATATATATATATATATATATATATATATATATATATATATATATATATATATATATATATATATATATATATATATATATATATATATTACTTTTTACCTTGCGCATGCCACTGCAACCACTAACTCAGCCATGACTATCACGAGCGATGCTTAGCTTACCTGCCTAATTAAGCAGTTTGGGAAAAGTGTTTGAGTTTACGAGTATAGATTTGATGTATTAAAAAACACATTTGAAATAGTGTACAATGATGACTTCTAGTTATAATTTGCTTTCTTTAACTGTGCTTGGATAGGATGGATTGAAATTCGACCACAGATGTGAGGGTCTACCAGTGACACTCCAAAACGTCAATAATACATTAGCTCTTACAAAGGGAAACATCTTTACTCTCAAAGTACAACTACTAAAACCTTACTGTAGCTTAATCTTGAAAGTAGTGATAATTATAAAAGTAATCATAAATACACGGTAATTTAATACATATTTAGGTTATTTCTTGTACATAATCGATTACGTAATAACCATAATAAGTCACACAGAAAGTTATATCGAAATGCATAAACGATTATAGATTATTATGATGACTAATCACTAACCCAAATCTGGCTTCACTTCGATTACACAATACTCACCGTCCTGACAATGAGGTCCCGAGTATCCAGGTGGACATCGGCAAGTGTCGGGCGCCACACACACACCACCGTTGACGCAGCCACGCCCACACTCAGCCATCTCACAGCGGCGCCCATGCCAGCCACGGGCACAGTGACACACCCCGCCGTACCCACAGAGGCCCTGGTTAAGACACCCCCCTGCACACTCTCCATGTTGGTTCGCAGTATCTGAAGTTAAGGCGAACGCTGTAGTACCTCAATAATAATCCAATACATCGTATCGTCTTCACCCTTTTTTCCACAGCAGTTTATTTTGAAGGTAATGGAACTATTTGTGGATTAAACACGTAAACAGATATTTAATATTACGTACAGAATATTAATGATCGTAAAAAACAATGGCTGTGCGGACTGACTATACAGTATACAGTACACAATTCTAAGACAAGTGCAATATGTATTTTGTTGCCCAGATGGCATGTCTTCACCTCGCGGGATCGATTCCCGACATCAGTGGATAACTGAGTTCCTCCTTGTACATTAACTCTCGTGCACTCAGCAATAAATGGTTATATTGCCGGGTGCACTTGTCGGTGGTGGACATCCCTTCCATGAACCACTACTGAGAGGATGAAAAACATTGTGGGAAATTTTTTTAGTTAAAAGACAAAATGTCAAACACTATCTTAAAATATCACAGAAATGAAGCTCATGTCAGAAGGTGTCAAGAGCAGACGATCTGTTCCCACTGGCAGTAGACTCTTCCAGGGGCATGTTGCAACAGCGTCTTCGTGGGTGTTGACGATAAGAGAGACAAGTACGGAAGATGGAGCCTGTGAGCGTGAATATATAGGCTAATAGATGAGCCAACATTACTGTGTGTTAACTGAGGACTCTCGATACAAAAAAAAAAAAAAAATAAGTTAAAAGTATAATATTAACTGATTACAAGATGTAGATTGAACAGGAATGAAAAACTACGAAACACAAAAATAAAAAGATGTAGAAGTGTTTGGAGTATCAGGCAGACTGGGGAACAAAAGAATGGATAATAGGAGAGAGAGAATAGATCAAGAAGCAAGTAGCAGGATGACGTGAGTTAAGTACTGGATAGGAGAGGATGGACACCCAGGAAGAGTCAGTGTGCGGTCGTACCTGAAGGCCTCAGAGACGAGTGGTTTAAGGGGCTGGACGTACTGCTGGGTTGTGGAGCTACAGGGGTAATGCACACGGAAACTGTAGAGTTGTTGTGTTGGAGAGGAAGAGCATAGCAAAACTTCATCAACTCGTATTACTAAACATAGTTAAAATGAATGATGAGAGAGTCTGCCTTACGTTGGGTTAGGTTCTGGCCACCTTGATACAAACGGGGGAAAGGCTTTCAAAAGGGGGGATACATACATACATACAGTAAACATATTCATTAATGAAATATATTTACACATTTATATGTATGTTACACTCACACGCACACCACACACAGTGAGTGTGTGTGTGTATATATATATATATATATATATATATATATATATATATATATATATATATATATATATATATATATATATATATATATATATATATATATGTAATATTCAGAAATTTCAGAGTAATTTCAAATGCCCCGCCATGAGTGATACTGAGCGTTCAAGGTCATCTGAGGGGAGGGAGCGCTGCCTGCTCGTAGCGAGAGACTGCGGAACTAGGCCTATATGATATTAAATGTGATTTACCGAATTAATAATGATGCGATTCATGAAGTTAAGGGACTATTATTGAATTTGAAATTATTATAGATCGTTTAGCAGTCTGAATAATGTTACGGGTGTCCCAAGGAGTTATTAGTTAGGCGGTAAATATATCACGTAGGACCAAGCTAGCGCCTTGGGGAGACGATGCTGGCTAGGCCAGTCCCGGAGAGCATTCACACAGACAAGACGTTCCGCGCGTCCATCAGAAATAGTCACGTGGCCTAGTCACCTGTGCTGCGCTATTGCAGTATAACAAGTAAGTCTCATTCGATCTCAGACAGGGTTAGATAGGGCAGTGATAAAGTAAACTAGAGCTAACAGTGAGTTCATTTCAGGGTTTCCGTCAGAACCCACTTGATTGGAGTTGACTGGAGTTGACTTGGAGTTGACCGGAGTTGACTGCGAGAGATTGACTGCCGTTGATGATTGAGGGTGGCGATTGTCGCCATTGGACCGATCAGTGTAGGCCTGTCACTGTTTAGCGGGGTAGCAAAGGATCTCTTGAGTGAACGAGTGCTCCCGACAACTAACACGACACGGGACCAGCATCAGCAGTGGGTGATCAGTTCTTACCACTCCGGTGCACAACCCCACATGTCCCGAGCAGCTAGTGAAACCCTCTTGCTAACGGGAAGCTAAAGTTTCTCTCAACTGCGCAAGGTCTGATTGGCTCACTCTCTTCCTGCCCATGGACGCACTGGGAGTACACTGGGGCTATCTGAGTATATTAATGGTCACACACTGAGACCGTGAGTCTAGGACTCTAGGAGATACCTAGAGGAACATTTTATCTTCCTTATTACGGGTGTAGTTAACACCATTCCTCAGACTGATATTATCTTGACGTGTGTAGTTTAATATTTCTTAAATAATTCTGATAGTAGTGTTTTTTGAATGTTTGTGCCATTAAGTGGAACCAGAGTGATACTGTGATTTGATTCTTTTAATGCCTCTAATTGTTCTTCATAATTCTGATCTCAGGTATAACCTTGTTCCCCAGAGTAGTGGTTAGGTTAGGTTAGGAAGTGTACATCTGTTGGGGTGCTATAATTTTGTTGAAAGCCCTTAAGGCCTATTCATTGTAGAGTAGTTAATTTCTTATTTTTTAATACCATTTCCTAAGTGACTGATATTATTTTGTGAAAGCCCTTAAGAGGCCTGTTTCATGTGTGCAAGCAACATTTCTTAATACTTCAAATTTATTGTTGCCTGTGTTTCTAATAATTTCTATGTCATTTATAACTTTTATTCCCCAGAGTAGTGTTTTAAGTTTAAGTTAAGAGGTGCGCATATTGGTGTACCATTATTTGATTGTGTTTGTAGTGTTGGAGGGAATATAAGTGTCTAAATTTTACAGTGTGTCTCATTCATCCCAGTCACAGACGCTATCCTTCCACGGGTCACGGACAGTTCATTTTGTGTAGTAGATTTAAGTGTTCTTGTGCTGGTTCGGGATTTTTCTCAAAGGGGCGCTTCCACTGCCTTTACCATCTATTAAATTTTAATAAACCCCAAGTCAAGTGAGAAATTAAAGTCCAGCAAATTCCGACCGGTTACATATATATATATATATATATATATATATATATATATATATAATGTGTGTAAGTATACTCAATTGTCTGAATGTATACCATAATATATAAGTAGGCAGGTATGTATGTATACACATGTGCGCGACACTGCCGCCCTCAGCAGCCGGGAACAAAAAATAGGTTCGTCTAAAATTTGCGAAAGTTTTGTGTTCTCGTGCCGGAGTTTTCGGAGTGTGGTGAGGGAGTGAGCGATGGTGACGGATGGTGGCAGCAGCTGAGGCACCACTGAGGGAGGTGCCGTAGATGGGGTGTTAGGAGGGAGAGGACTGAAGAGGATGAGGACGGGGATGGTGCCAATCAGCCACCGTGTCATAATGGCACAGTGACCCCCGACAACATGAGGCCACACAACATATACCACAAAAAAAATGAATAAAGAAGAGACAGAGGGAGGAACGGAGAGAAGTAAGAGAAAGATCAGGGAGAGAGGAGGAGAGGAAAGAAGAACAGGAAGGGAAGGACAATAGGAAGGTGAAGAAGGAAGGGCAGTAGGGACAGGAAGCAGCAGTTACTCAGCCGGACAGAAGAACAACGAGGGTGTTAGAATACGAGTGAGGAATGAGGTGGGGAGAACGGTGGTGTGAGGTGAGAGTGAGGAGAATGGGGTAGCCCGAGGAAGGAAAGAGAGACAAGGGAAATATAAGTTGGACGGAATGGACGCCAGAGGGGGCAAAATCGTCGCCAGCGGAGGCAGAGGGTCGAGATTTACCCAACACACCAAAATACAACGAGTTTCTGCAGACCCACCGTAAATTCTGCCAAATATTCACACACGTCACCCAATGTATAGATTTTGCCGTGGTCAGTCTTCCTCCCCTTCACACCCCGAGATTGAGGGTTCGAGAGCCATCACACGAAAGATGGTTCCTTGAATATATTTGTGAATTTTTCTCGTCTGGGGAGAATACGGGATGATGCATACACATCACTCTATATTTCTGTGACCATTGGACAGTTTCGAACACGTGTCCCCGAGACGATGTTAGCCAAGAGAATACATATGAAAGCTCTAGGTATCTAAGCATGTTAGAAATTGTCCTACACATTTTACCATGATGATGACAGTTGTAATCTTTCCATTAAAAATTAAAATAATGATTTGATATATTGGGTAATAAAAGGAATTTAATTTAACAGACGGGACAAAAGAATGGGATAAACAAATCATTACATGTGAAAAGATGGCTGGTAATATTCACGATATTGATGTGGACTTAACTCAGATTATACAAATACACACGATCCAATCATGAGTTCGCACGCACACGCACACACGCACGCACCACGCAGTAAAAGAAGGAACACTACCAGAGTATACACTGAACGTACGTTTATTGTGGTGATGCCTCATGCGGTGTTGTTGCTGCTGCTGGTGGTGGTGATGGTGGTGATACTGGTAGCTCCACTTGTGGTTCCAGGACGTCCTCTTGCTATAGGACACAGGTGGTGGGCCGCCCCTCGGCAGCACCTCGTTCATGTCCCTCTCCGTCATCGTCTCCTGGAGGAGGGGAGAGACACCCGGGGCAGGTAATTAGTGACTTCCAAAAGGTGCTGGGGTTGACCCTTCTACATATGTTCACTAATGGGTCATATGTTGTTCAGCAATATAAGCAAAGGTTAGTCTTTACTCGTTATGTTTGTCTTTCTATTGTCTGTCTCTGCGTCTGTCTTTGCTCTTTAGTATTTTTCTGACTTTATTTTCTGGTCTTTGTCTTGTCTTTTCTCTTTTCGTTTCTGTCTTTATTGCATGATTATTTATGATTAATTTAATTTGTTCTCTCTCTCTCTCTCTTTATTTTTCTATACACCTATCATAGTTTCACACACACATTATATATATATATATATATATATATATATATATATATATATATATATATATATATATATATATATATATATATATATATATATTTTACCGGGTATTTATATTAATGATAGATAATAGCGTGCCATCTCAATGCTTCAAACACACCTGCCTAGATGATGAAGGTAATCAATAAAGCGCCTACCTGAAGCACCAGTCATTGCTCGCACAGTACACCCTGGAGGCCATACAGATATACGAGTATTTAGGGGACCTGGGCGTGTTTACAACACCTCTTGTCCTATAACGTTGTTGGGGAGCCTGTCGTAGCAGGTGCTTTGTCAAGGTGATTCCCTGGTTAATATCTTGATTCAATCTACCTGAGTAACATTTGTAGGCACTTTGTGTTAATCCAATTTGTATGTTAATATTTGGATACAAATGTCGACAAATCTTTACAGCATATGTAGAAAAGTATTGAATATGTACTGCAACATGTGGGAGGTGTTAGGGTTTAACCATTAATTAATTAGTCTATTTAGTACCATATAAAGACAATATATAACTAAATATTACTTACAATACCCGTTTAAGGTAAATTGGATTGAAAACTAATTTGCCCATCATAAGTTATTCGGTACTTGTCATGACCGGTTCTAGGATAATTCACTTCTGGTAATCTGACTCCCAGTATTTTCAATCCCGGTAAGTTCACTGGTAAGAATATATTTCGTTAAGAAAAAAATACAAAATTAAAAGCCAATTAGCATAGTTTCTTGTTACTGCTACAAGTTATTCGACGTAATGAGTCGATTATCGTTATCTAGATTACATATCAAGAAAAACTTGTCGCCATTCTTTAACATCATTCTACTTGTTTTTGTCACTGAGCCATTGAAGTGCATCATGGTAACCTTCTCAAGCGTTGTTGGTATACGTGGCAAATGCGAGAGTCGATAAGAAAGGTTGGGAGTAACTCTTGATCTTCCATTACCTCTACCTCTTTCACATCCACTGTAGAACATTTCACAATAAGACACTAGTGCTTGAGAAAGGCCATAGACATCGACAACCTCCTCGACACCATCAGTGATTTGATCATATTTGTCCGTGAGTGTGTCCGTCTGTGAAGAAACCATCTAAAAATTAACGTTGTCAAATTTTAATGGAACTATATGAACTTTATCAGCAGCTACCCGAGAAAGAAGAGACCAGTGTCTAGAACAGTAGCCGTGTCTGGTCTCGCGGTCGTCAGGGCAACAGGTAGCGTCAGGGAGTCACACAGCTTTAGTCTTATAATACTGGTTTATCAAGAGTCACGTCACAAAGGATCTTATGGCCTGGCTCTCGATATCTTAGTTTGTGTATAATATGCAAAAGTAGACTTGTATTTAGTGATTTCTTATATAGCGAAAAATATTGTACTTGAGTTTTAAATCATTAGATAATGAACAGTAAATCTTAGCTCTACTAAGTGGAGTTTAATCCATCTTACAATAACCAAAATCTGGATAATCAAACATTTGGAACAGAGCAGCCATCATCAGGAACCCCGCATAAGCGTGGGTTTTACCTTATAATTTTCCCGGACTCACCTGCCATACAGAGTTGTCCAGTCTGGCGTCGTCCATCTTGGAGGGCTTGTGATGCTTGTCGTCTAGATACATCTTGGACGTGTTGTTATAGAATGGCTCGCTGACAGGCTGATGGGCTGCACTCACCACTGTGGTAGGGAACAGCGGGTGCATCTCCACCACTCTGGCCCTGGCTGTGGTTGACGTAATGGGAGTAGTTGTGGTAGTGTGAGGAGGGGATGGTGTGGTGGTGGTGGTGGTGGCAGTGACGGTCATTAGCTGATCCAAGGGAGTAGCTGTGACAGGCGGGGGCGAGAAGGTATCGGTGGATGTCATGTACGGTATAGTGTGGATCATCTTATCCATCTCTGGGTGTGTGGGTTCACTGGTGGTGGTGGTGGTGGTGGTACGGGGAGTGGTTGAAGGGCATGGTTGTAGGTTGCAAGCTCTCTGTTCCTGCGTCTCAATCCCTGCATGGACACATTCTTCGAAGAGCAGTTGGTTGGGTAAGCATCGGTAGGAGCGTATTCGAACTCCGCCGTCACAGGAAGTGGAGCAGCCTGACCACACTGACCACGTTAACTCTGAAAGATTAAACGAAATCCTTGTTTAATAATAATGTTTAGCAGTCTTTGACCCGTATCTAAACATCCCTTCCATAAACGTCGTTCGTATTCTGATTATTTATGGCCGAAGATTCGGGTAAGATCCCCAAGGAAGTTTTAGACATTATATTTTGCCTTTGTAAAACTATTTCCTCTGTACACGTTAACGAAAGTCCAGAGAGTTTCCAGCTGAAAACTTCTGAAGAAATATCAAGCAACAGAAACCCGCATGAGGAGCTCTTTTTCATCTGCTCACAGTTCTCAGTTCTGACACAAACATGTTTTGGTTCTGCGCAATATGTATAAAATAATATGAATTAAATCAATGTGACTGTGTGTGTGTGTAAACAAAGAATATTCACCAGACATCACAACAATACTATTTTTACTCACCATACTTGCCGTCGTCAACACCGGAACCCTCGATCAGATCCTCGTCGTCAGTGGCTGTGGTGGAGGAACCTAACTCATGCCTCTCATCCCCCGTGTCTGACATCTCCTTCATCTCACTGTGTTTATCTTCCCTTCCTCTTGCCTCTTCTCTATCATCTACTGTCATCTCGCTCTCCTCTCCGTCTATATAATTATTCTCATCATTCCATTCGTGAGTGCTCGAGATTCGCCCGTCTTCAAAGTCAGCATAGTCGTCGTATACGTAGTCGGGAAAGTCGTTGTAATCTACGTTGCCATAAATATCGAACTCGTCGCCATATTCGCCGTAGTCGTATTCATTGGAGTCGTGGTAGTCATGGTGGGGGTCGGTTAGGTGTTGGTTGAGGTGGTTGGAATACTCGTGCACAGCCAGGCCCAGGGGTCGTCCCGTGTCCTGTGGAAGGTGTAACGACAAAGGTTATAACTTGAACATGGTTTAGTTGGATGCGATAGATAGATAGATAGATAAACAGATTGATAGATAGATAGATATAGAAATAAATTATTCACATTTATTACCTCTTTCGTAGATCAGGTCACATACAGCGTGTCTCAAAACTATTTAAATAATCTAATATGTTATGAGACACACTGTATAATTCATAACATACAGTACGTGCCGACTTATGTATTTCATTTACATTTTATCTTATTTTTTTTTCGTTTCATTCAGTATACCCGTATTTCTCACGCGATACAGGTCTCTCCCTGGGTACATTGCATTGAAGTGAGACTTCCTATCTCTTATCAAGTTATCACACACCAGAACTCCGCTCCCAACTTTCTCCTCAGCCACATTCTGCCGAAATAGACGAGTTATTTTATCCAAACTTTCCCAGACTTGGCTAACTGAATTTCATGCAAAATGCACAATGTTGGAAAAGTACCAAGGCCAGAGGAGCCACACCACACTACACCTAACTCAGCAAGAGGCTAAGTAAGGTTAGGTTAGGTTAAGTTAGGTTTATTTTTTATATTTTGTTATTAGTGTTGAGTGTTGTTAATGTTGTCGTTGTTGTTATTATTATTTTTTATGTTATCTTCATTATATTCTTGTGTTTATAACTAGAACTTCCTTCATAGTCCCAATGTAAACAAGTGATCTACACACACTTCCCCCCTCCACACCCTCACCCTCATATAAGCATCCAACCTATGTTTGAAGCTATTCAGCGTATTCGAGTTAATGATGATATTTGGTAACTTGTTCCATTCATCCACTACTCTGTTTCCAAACCAATGTTTACCTATTTCGCGCCTAAATCTAAATTTGTCTAATTTAAAACCATTGTTACGAGTTCGCTCCTGGTTGGATAGTTTGAGTACCTTTGTTTAGGCCTGACTTCCATTTATACACCTCTGTCATATCGCCCCTCACTCTACTTCTCTCGAGGGAGTGCAAATTAAGATGCTTTAACCTGTCCCTGTACTCAAGGTTCCTAATGCCCGGGATTATTCTTGTCATTCTCCTCTGAATTCTTTCTAGGGATTCTATATTCATTCTGTAATGCGGTGAACAGAATTGAACTGCGTAATCCAAGTGAGATCTCACAAGCGCAAGATATAGTTTTAGGATGACCTCTCTAGTCTTGTAACTAACACTCCTTTGTATGAACCTTACTTTATTAGCCTTGTTTCGAGCAAATACACATTGTTTACTTTGCTTAAGATTCTACTTCCTCCTAAATCTTTCTCAGATTCGGATTTCTCTATAACATCGTTGTTCATCTGATATCTGGTTTCTCTGTTTACATCTCCTAAGTACTGTAGTTTTGCGGAGTCCTCGTCAGAATTAATTACACGCCCTATTTTAGTGTCAACAGCAAATTTACTTGCTGTCTACGCCGATATCTATGTCGTTTATATATATAATAAATAATAATGGTCCAAGTACTGAGCCTTGGGATACTCCACTAGTGACGTTACTCCAATCGGATTTAGTGCCGTTACTGATCACTTGCGGTTTCCTGTCATATAACCACGCACTTATCCATTTTAGAATATTTCTTCCAATGCCATGAGCCTCCACTTTTCTTTTTAATCATTGATCAACCTGTGCTTCTCCAGGTGATTTCGAATAGATGTTTGAAATTATTGATTGGACGGTAGTAAGAGGATAGTGATCTATAGGGCCCGGATAGTTATGCACTAAAAAACCATGAAATATGCATGCAAATATGCACTAAAAACAGGGGGAAATATGCATTTATATGCACTAAAAATGTCACTTATAAAGCCATACTATAACTTCGTTGGCCACAACAATTGCAGAGAATCGTTGAAGAAACCAGCAACAGTGGAGTGGTTGACTTTAGATAGTACACCAACATTCACTCGGTAGTATTTGCCTCGCTCTGTTTCATCTCCCAACACACCAAAAATAAGATTCACAATACACCGTTGCTCAACATCAGTGGTTTCATCGAGTGACACCCATATTTTCTTTCCACAAGCCTTTCTCCTTATGATTTCCATCGTGTCATTGAACAATTGTGAAACATAGTTCTTACGTAATGTTGATTCGTCAGGCACCTTTTTTCCAGTATACTGTTCCAGGAATGACTTTAGGCACTTGTTATTCAGTTTATGCAATGGAATATCCGCTGAAACAAATGCCTTGCACAAATCTGCGTTGAACTGGGAACGATCAGGCCCTGACTTACTGGAACATGCAAGAAGTAGTTGTTGCTCCTTTTGTATACTATTGGACTTAACAGCTTCGAGTCGGATGTGCTTGCTTGTTTTAAGGTGTTGTTGGACTTGAAATTTCTTGCTCGCTGTCACTGGTGCTTCACAATATTTACAAAACAGTACACTTCCATCAGTAGTAAATGCATCAAATTCCTTTACATATGATCTCAGCACTTCATTTTGGTTTCTTTGTACTTTCGGCATTTTCACGAGCAGCAGAAGAGAGTAGCTCCACACAGCAGCACTGCTCCTGACTGACTAACTCACTAGTCCAATGAGTCATGACCAGGTGTGGAAACGACAGATTAAAGCGACGTGACCTCACCTCACTTCACCTAACCACACCTCACCTCACCTCCCAGTACCACGTGTGCTCATTCAGTGGCAACAAAGAGATACTGCCAGATGAATATTTTACCAAAATATGCATTTATATGCAGTTATCTAGGTAATATGCACTTATCATAGAAATCACGCAAAATATGCATTTGCATATGAAATATGCAAATGCATAACTATCCGGGCCCTAGTGATCTATCTCCCTTCTTGAAAATCAGTATTACATTCGTTTTTATGGACATTTAAACAAATTTGCTAAGGGCATACTAAGCTCTGCCTTACATTCCTTTAATACTCTGGCAAATATCTCATCGGGACCTGGTGACTCATTAGGCTTTCGTTTGTCTATTTGCTTACTAACATCATTACTAGTCACTACTATCTCGTTTAATCTATTTTCTTCACTATCTCTGTATATAGTCGGTGCCTCGGGTATCATGTTTAAATTTTCGATGGTGAAAACTGTTGAAAAATATTCATTCAGAGTATTGCTCATTTCTCCATCGTGAGGTGTGGAGGCTGGCAGCGGGCTCTTGCCAACCACAGTATAGCGACAGCACAGCTGGCTGGCTCCATTCCCGACAGCGCTATACACCGCTCACGCCACCTCCACTTATACCTCCATGGTGTCAGGTGTCAGGTGTGGGTGTCAGTGTGTGTGATGTGGGGTGTATGTGTGGTGTGGGAAGGGTGTGCGTGGTGTGGGATGGGTGTGCGTGGTGTGGGATGGGTGTGCGTGGTGTGGGATGGGCGTCTGACTAATTAAGCCTTAAAACACCGCCAGTACTTGTGAAATAGGAATCATATATTAAATCATAATACGGTAAAACTGACTTTCATTTCAGAAGAGGCCCGACACCACCTCGAAAAACACAAGTTGATTATGACTCACAGCACGGCTTCGTGTCTTACAAATCTATAAAACATTTTCCCAAATCTGCGGACGGTAGACACGACGATGATGTGGTTTACCTCAAGTTTAGCAAAGCTTTTGGCGGGGCCCCCGGGAAGGACAAACATGGAGAATGGAGACATTACACTGGAGGCTAAATTCTAAACTGGGTTACAGAGTGGTTAACTGACAGAAAGCAGAGTCAGCAATAGTGGTAAATAATGCGACTGGAGTAACGCTAATATTTATCATATACATTAACGACATAGGGATAGGAATTGACAGCAACATAATAAATTTGATGATGTCACAAAAATAAGGTCTATAATTGAATCTGTCGAGGACATAGACAAATTATAGGAAGATCTAAACAAACTTTAGTGAGGACTGAAAACGCCAGAAGAAATTTAATGGGATAATGTAAAGTTTTTAAGGCAAAGGAATGGAAATGGAAGAACCAACTATCAGCCGAACAACGTTGATATAGAGAAATCCGAAAGTGAGAAAGATTTAGGGGTAATAATAAGAAAGGGCCCAAAACCTAAACAACAATGCATTTATGTACGAAATAAGGCTAACAAAGTATTAGGGTTCATAATTACCTAGGAGCGATAGCAACAGGATAATAATAAATATATTGGATGCCCCTCAAAATCGAGGATGGCCGGCCCTAGGGCCACCTAGGCTTGAATTTGTTTAAGGTGTAGAAGCTGCCGCCAACACAACAACCGCACCCTGAGTTAACGAGCTGCATGACCCAGTTTCAAGGAGTAGTCCGAGAAGACCGGACAGCTCACCAACTGCACTGGCTCTCCATTACCCCGGAACACGATTAACATCCAGGTCCCCAATTGCTGCTGGGTGGACAGAGGCAAATGGCGTAAAGAAACTTGCCCAAAGTTTCACCCTGCCCGGGGATCGAACCCGGGTCCACTCGCTTGCAAGACGAGCATGCTGACCATTACACCACAGGAATATCGATGTTATCTTAGAACTATATCTTGCGTATGTGAGACCTCACTTGGATTATCCGGTTAAATTTTTGTCAATACTATAGAATGGATACGGATTCCCTAGGAAGCATTCAAAGAAGGGTAACAAAGTTAATCCTAGACATCAGGAACCTTGAATATAAATACACATTAAGAAAACTGAATGATCGACGTGTGTAACATGAAGTCTGGGTTATATTAAGGAGATATAATTAAGGTAGAGCAGTACCTGTAATCTACACAAGTAAATTAATAGGCAAAAATGTTACCCAACCTTAACTACTTTCTCGGAGCTCAAAGTTCCCGCCCAGAGTGATGGGCCTCAACTTGAGGCTCAGACAGCTTTTTATCAAGTTCTCAGTACTGACTTATCTATGCAGACTACAGGTTCTGATATATATTGCCAACACCGTTGTGCTGGGAACTTGGTTAAAAGCTGTTATATTATAACCTCTTTATCTTTCTCCATATCCGTCAGTA